AGATTAATAGGCCTATAATTACTGGGACAATTTTTATCACTTCCCTTGAAAGAGGAGTTAACTTCCAATCTTCTGGTACCTGCCCACTATTCAAGGGCTTACAAAAAAAATAGTAGTAAGTGGCTCACATAACCAATCCTTAACCCCTCCTTCAAAATCCTTGGGAAAATATTATCTGGCCCAGGAGCTTTATCGTTCTTTAAATTTCCCAACTGTTTCTTAATCAACTCCTTGTTATCCTTACATTGTGTTTTGTTATTGAAATTTACAGGATTATTTGAGTAACTGATAGGTTAAAGTCCTGTAAAGATTTGTGATTTTTGTTACACTTATGAACATAATATTTGGCAACTTGTATTTATATTCTGTATAACAGTGGTTCCTAACTGATCTGATCACGAACATATTTTTGTTGCACCACAGAACATTCAAGTGAGTGTGTGTGTGTGTGAGAAAGAAACTAAAAATTATTAGTTCAGAAGTCTGTTTAAAATTATGTTCAATTATAAAGCTAAAATTTTAGTATCTGCTGGGTAGATATATCAGCAGAAAACTAACACAGAGGAATGTATGTTTAACAGGTTAAAAAAAAACTTCAGTGTCATAATCTTGTGGCATGGCTTTTTAAAACCCGAGAAACTTTGTTTTACATCTCAGCAGAAACAAACACAGAGGAATGTATGTTTAACAGGTTAAAAAAACTTCAGTGTCATAATCTTGTGGCATGGCTTTTTAAAAACTGAGAAACTTTGTTTTACATCAGTTTTTAAGTATTATTTTTAACTCACAACTATTTGAATGAAATCTCATATTAACAGACTGTCATACCATCCAGCTGTCACACAGTTTATGCATCCTTCACGAAAGTGAAAGGAAAACCCTAATAACATTAGATATCATATCATGCCTTACATACTCTACAGTTTTTCAGCTACAAAATGAGATTGGGTTAACATTTCAAAGTTCTGTATCATTTAAATCAAGTTGTCAGATTCTCTTCAAGACTTGATACAAAACTTTACTTTTTACTGTCTAGCAACTGTCTCCATGTTAACTCAAATGGTACAATGTACACTGTCTAACAACTGTCTCCATGTTAACTCTAATGGTACACTATACACTGTCTAACAACTATCTCCATGTTAACTCAAATGGTACAATATACACTGTCTAACAACTGTCTCCATGTTAACTCAAATGGTACAATGTACACTGTCTAACAACTGTCTCCATGTTAACTCAAATGGTACAATATACAGAATGAATTGTCAAGATTGTTGTAATTTTTATGTGGGGAAAATTGGAAGGAGTCTAGAAATTTGATTTAAAAGGACTTCTTCATTCCCCTTCACATAATTTTTTAGTATCACAGTACCATAAAACATAACATGATGATAAATAATGTTCAGGTTGTTCATCAAGAGCCAATAGAAATTAAAAGATTTTAAATGTGTGCCAAGATTATCCATTTGACCGACTCTGTATTGGAGAAAGAATATTGACAATAATCCACATTTATTAAACATATCTAGATAAAAAGTGGCAAGCTTTTAGTAATGCTGCAAATCTGCTGTACAGATGTGTTACTAAAGTACTTGTGCTCAAGATATGTCTGTGCATTTCTGACATCAATGTGACTTGGACTCTGAAAGATTTGAGAAGAATAAAAATGCTTTTGTCCGTTGTGCAGTTTGCACAGTGCATACGCACAACCTCTAGAACTTGTATAGCAGTGTAGAACTTGAAATGTAATGACAGAAATATATTTGTTTTCAATCTCTTAATTGCATTTTTTTAAAAGTCAAGAAAGAGTTTTTATTGGTGCTCTAAAATGCAGTTTTAATCTAAAAGAGCAGCTATATTACATTGTATTTATTGATTTCTCGGGCACACTGATCAGTGAGGTATGGTATAAAATAAAGTGCTTTTATATTTTCTATTGTGTTTGGGGAATTTTCCTATGATCGTATACATGTACAGAAGGGAGGTGAAATTAAATACAACCTTTGAACAATTGAAAAGAAGTAGAGAACAGATAAAGTAAACAATGATGTTGCTACCATTAACTGAAATTGAATTTTGTTGTTAACTTAGGTTGAACCTGGAGGAACAGAACTATGAGTTCAGGCTTATCACCTTCTAACAATGTGACTGTTCTTTTTGAGCTCAAAATTACAAGTAAGTATTTCCATGCATGTGTCGATTATACTTTATAAATTTTGAAGGTATATTTATTTCAATATTTTGTTTCATTTATCTAGGCTGAAATTGATATTTTAGATTTTTTCTGACAATTTTCAGTTGGGAATTACTGGTTCAAACAATTCTTTGCACAGATACGGAGTTCTGCGTTTAGATTTTTAGCTACTGGCCTCTTGGGCTGTTCAGCTTGCATTTTAATTGTATAGGAAACAATTTTTGTGGCCCAATAAAAGTTCGACATTCATCATGGCCCACAGGCCCAGTAGAAATCACGCTTTGGCCTGTAGAAATGTTACACGACAGGCTCGAAATGTGAAATTATTTTATATCAGATTAATGAATTGTTATATACCATGGTAATTTATACCTTACTCATTATTTAAATGTGCTCTCTTCTTAGGATACCTGTTAATCGTTTTTGGTTATTTAAACCTATTTTAAGGAGTTTTTCTGCAAACAACCATTCTACATTTGATGAAAATATACATGAGTGAAAGGGGAATGAGTTAGTTGATTTTTGTATCTTTTTAGTGTATAGGATGCATTTTTTGATATATTAACTTTGAAAGAGGACTTGGCATTGAATCCAAAATGTCATAAAAGCTCTTCAGATGTTGATTTTATTGCTGATATATATAAATCCATTTCAAACAAAGTTTTATAATGTGTGAAATATAATTCTATGATACTGAACTGTTTATTCTTCTTATCAATGCCCTGATATTTTATATTTGTATTTTAGTTGTTTCAGCCAAACTACATTCATCAAGTCTATTCAAGCCAAATGCTTACGTGGAACTAGTTGTTGATGAAGGAATTCCAGTAAGAACTGATATTCAGAAAAACACGACTCATCCAACTTGGAATGAACAATTTCCCGTGTAAGTGTGGTTTAACAATGCAATGGCATTATAATACACTATACACATATTTCTAGTTTAAAATTTAATATTTTTAAACAATTTTTGCAAGAGGAGGTTGAAGATTGACAATGCTTGGATAATTTTCTCTAACAAATGACCATTTTATGTCTTTACGAAATTGACTTGTCGGTGAAGAAAACAAAGCAAAAAAATTCATTTATTTTTTTCATTATGATGTCTTCCAATTTTATTTTAGTAACTATCATTTTGGAGTAAAGAAATATATATATATATATATATATATATATACATACATACAAAGGTTAAGTACGTTAAGTTAACCCTATTAGGATTGGACAGCATTCCAGAGCTGAGGGTATGTTTGCATAACAAATTTCACAATGTAAGTAAAAAATTATTCTATCCTTATTTCATCAATTTTTTTATATGAAAATATCTAAGAATCGAAATTTTGTAACCTTGCAAAAATTTTATTTAGCGTAATTTGAAAAGAAGAAGAAAATGTTTGAGTTTTGGGCACTGCACCGTTCCAAGGGTTATTGTGGGTAACCAATTCTCTTTTGTATTATTTAAGAACTTTTATGCAAACCTAAAGTAGATTTATATTTGCTCACAACCTGGCATTCTTTAGAAATACTTTTTATTCAGGTTTTTGTTTCTTACATGAATTTCCTTTTTTCTCAATGACTATTTGAAGAATCCTATGTTGAGAGGCTTTTATGGTGCCACAGCAAGTGGGTTGGACAGTAACTAATAAATCTTAGCCTTGAAACAAGATAGAACCAATGGCTAATACTGATTAGCTGGGAAAGAGTGTCTATCTACGTCAATGTAAATGAAGTGGGATAAGCAGTAATGTACAGTTTCTGAGAAAGTGATTAGTGGAAGATCTCTTAGTGGAGAACAAAGGATTCTTATATGAAGTTTACAAGATCTAATTAAAAAAAGCCACAAACGTGGGAATTTTAAGTGTGAGAAGAAAAAAACAGTTGATACAATATCACCCTGCCAAAACAGAAAGGGTTAAATGATTTTGAAGCATCATCATCATGTTGTTGTTACAGTATATTTTGCCACTTATAGCCTGGCACATTAGTAAATTCATGGATTTACAATGTTAGAATCAGGGGTTCGATTCCTCATGGTGTACAAGGTAGATAGCCCAATGTGGCTTTGATCTGAAACAACCAACCATGTCCAGTCATGTTTGATCTGATTATCATGCATCTTGAACAACAATAGTTTTGCTGTGTAATTTCCCTTGAAAAAGGCTCTATTATAAGGTTGTAATGCCCAAAACACACCACTCCCACCTGCATGCTTTCAATAATTTGTCTAGTGTATGAGGACAACAGTTTTCAAGTGTCCATTTTAGTAGTCTGATTGTATAGAAATCAATAAGCACTGCACTTGGCAACTTGACTGATATGTTTCATTTTCTAGTTGCTTGGAGTGTGCAATGAACCCAAACTCTGTTGGCATCGATTCCAGATGGAAATTATTCCTCATTATTGTGTGTACTGTTTCCTGGGGCATGTGAATGGCTTTTGCCACTGACCTTTTAGTTCATGGATTCTCACGTGCTGCTGCTCTTTGCTTACCATGGCTGAGATATGACTTGTTCCAGGTCTTTTTCTGGATGGTACTGGTGCCCTAGGATGATTCATGTGTCTTTATTTTCTAATGCCATTAATTACAAGGGATATCTTGAAAATTCTAAATTCCCAGTGGAAATGGCTGTTATATGTATCCTTGCTAAAAGCAACCAGTTTTTGAGGAAATCATATTACTTATGAAATGCCAAACAATGTAATACAATATAGTTCTGGTACATGCTGATGAATCACAACATTGTCATCTGTGGTTGCCATGGGATTTATATATTAAAATGTTTTTAATATATAACATACTGTTTGTATACAGTAACAACATGTCATAAACGTCTATGTGGTTCTTATTTCAGAGGTCGTTAGGTTCTTCTGACAGTGTTAATTTAATTAACTATAGAAGAATAAAAACTAGTATTCATACATGTTTGTAGAAGAGGCAGAAATATGATTGTGTTCATTTTACAGAGTGTGAATGTTATAATCACTGGAATGCTCAGGAATTAATGTTTTCTTTGTCAAACTTAGTCAAGTTTAGCATCGGTTAAACATCCATACAGTTACAACAATTACATATTCTAATTTACAGCTAATAATAGAGGATTTATACATTTATATAATGTTTTGTATTGAGTACCAGTGCTACAACTATGATGCATATCCATGTAAGTATGCATTTTCTTACATATAGAAAAAAATTGTACTATTATGCATATTCACCAGTTCAGAAGAAACAGAAACCTGTATAGGTAAAAAAAACAAACACTCAAAACATGGAATATGATTCTTGCCAGATTGAGAGAATTATACATTAGTTTGTAGGGATTAACGTGAAATCCTACAAACTGTTTGCATCCGAGCACTTGTGTAACTTTTTGATTTACTCTCCCAAGCAGTATTGAAGAGTTGTGATTTTGTCAAACTCTAGGTCTACTGCAGAGGAATTGGCAAATCAAATGATAAATTAGGCCTCATAATGCTAGGAGATG